GGCTTATCAGCACAAAAATACTGTATATATTTTTAACATAAACAATAACAAAAATAGACATTTCAATAAATAAAATTGTGGACACAAATTAAATAAATAAAAAATATTCAAATGTTTCAAATACAAAAAAAACCCTAAAAATAAGTTTGATAAAGTACAAATGAAAATATAGCCTTTTTAAACTTTTGCAACCAGAAGCTGCTCCTCATATTAGTAACAAACTATAACAGTAACAACAGCTTTTTGACAAGTTTAAATTTTCTTTGAAAAACATTCAAAATGTTTAAAAATAAAACTACAACAATTAAGTGCAAATGAAAATATAGCTGTATCTGCGACTGTATTTGATAATGTTTTGAACTTTTAAAATATTGCATGATAGAACCAGAAGCTGCTCTTCATATTAGTGACAAACTTTGGCATTTTTTGACGAGTTACTTTGATTTTTGTTTGTTTTTGATTTTTTCGTACTTTTAATTTAAAACAGGTTTCCATTCTCGGCGGGTTTCTAATGTTCTTCTTCCACATGTTAAAAAAGTTGTTAAACAACTGAGTGAAGCACTACTGCTGCTACCAGTGGTGAGAAAGTGTATTGCACCTTATTCAAAATTTGTTTTTTTTAAGGTGGCGCTCGCGGCCCATAGGTTAAGAATCTATGGCTTATTTGATTCCATTATTTACAGGAAATATTTACATACCGGCTGACGGACGTCATCATGAGTCATTTGTATTTGGACATTATTGGGTGATGACCCCACATTATTAGCATCACCCTGAAACAAAAACAAAACAGATACAATCATAACTATTTCCTGTCTTTACTGTTGACTGGTTAAATTGTTATGAAGAAAAAGAACCCTCATAAATAAGAAATACTTAAAATTACAGTAAGTCGTCTGAATAAATACTGTACGACTTACGACTATCTGTAAACAGTGAACTAAAGAAAACTCACCTGTTCATTGAGGAACGAAACATGCTCCGCTTCATTACTTGTGCAGTCGGTGTGTGGCGGCATTGAAACCTGGCTTCTCCTAAATATATGTGAACATTATAAAAAAAACCACAGATTTTTATTTTATTACAAAACAACATTATCCAAAATATGACTAAATATGGATTTTTGCTTTACTTGCTCACTAAAAATCACTAACAATATTAGTTTATTAAAAATGTAAATAGGTTTTGGATGCATTTTATTTTACAAAACATGTAAAACTCGTGTACAGAAAATGGATGGATGGATGGATGGATGGATGTAAAACTCACTAACATATAAAAAATAATATGTTTAGTAAAATAAAGAGTTCACTCAAACAGCTTTTATATCATCAACTTAGGATCAAATCTGTTCTCTTTAATTAGTTCTTGTGAAAGTGATCAGTGAAATTCAGCTGATGACTGAAACAGATTAAGTTCATTTAATTTTATTATAATATTTAGAGGATGCAGGTCAGTGTGATGTCTAACTTTATCTCCCGGTCCTTCAACCTGTGCAGGACACTTCCTGTTCTGTTTGGTCCATGTCTCTGTCTCCAAACCTTACATCTCTCTGCTCTCTTGTAAACCTTTTCCTTTTGATTTTTGCTGCCACCCTTTTGTCACAAATCCCACCTGAACTCTCCTCTTCACCTCTTTTTATGCTCCCCCATTTCCCGGTCAGTTGACCTGAAGTCCTGGTGAACTCTGACCTTCATGAGGCTCTACAGCTTCATTCCTCTAGCAACTCTTGAAAAAAAAAGGGGAACATCAGAAAGAAGAAGTTGCTACAACTCTGTACATCACCTGTGTCCTTCAACCCTGGCACCAGCACCCTTCTTCTCCATTTCTTGAGCATTTTCTCTCTCTCAAAAGCGCCACTGAATAATCGAGTCAAAAACCTCAACGCCGTAACTTATTTCTGTTCAGAGTGGACATATCATGCCTTTAAATCCTTTACTCATTTAAATCCTTCAGTTGGGGATTTATAAAGTGGAACTGCAATGCTTTGGTCTGTTTTCCTCTTTACTGTAACTCCACAAGCCCCTCTTTCACCCCTTTTTCTGTTGTGTCTCAGATCAACTCGTTTTGAGAAAAAAAAATCAAAAAGAAAAAAATTTACAGGTCTTCTGGACGGGTTCTTCTCTAATGAAACGTTTCGTCTCTCCTCCAAGAGACTTCTTCAGTCTGAGAGTTTCAGGCAAAATTCAGGCTTTTAAGCATGTGACATGTGTTAATAAAAAACCAAACTGGATTTTTGGTCAATTTTGTAACTTTTTCCAAATTATACATATAAATTGTTTGCATATTTGCTGCTCAGTCAAGGTC